GAGAGACGGACGGGATCATGGATGGGATGGGATGGGATGGGATGGGACGAGACAGTTGAAACGGAGTATGCTGGAGAAGCTGAAGAGCGTGGGAGCGAAGATGGAGACGACAGATGCTGACCGAAGAAGCACTGACAGAGGGAAGCTGCCCCTTGACCACTGACTTGAGGCTTGAGACGAGGACCATTTCTTATTCCTGCTTTCCTCGACACAAGCGGGCAGGATTTGCGGGAAAGATCTAAGGTTAACGCCTCCAGAAACAAGCCAGCAGCGTTGGATATGGACATCCTACCAACCAGCCACGCCTATCCGTCCCTACCTTTCCTAGGTATCCGAGTATGTATCTGTGAAGGTGCAAACGCAGGAGGGGAGACAAGCATTGCCCTTTCTGTGAAGAAATAGCAAGTCGACGAGGAAATAGCAAGACTTCACTTGGGCCGGGTGCCCGGGCCAGACGCAGCCATGGATCGATCCAACAAAAGTCCCCCCCCCTCTTCCCGTGAATCCCTCGTGGGCACAGGCGGATTACTACACAGAGAGGTTAGTGATGCGAGGGCATATGAGAGAGGAACTAAAGAAGTAATGTCACTATATCACCGTGCTACGCCGCTCTCTCTCTCTCTCTCTCTCTCTCTCTCAACCTCCTTGCCAACCCCGACCCCGTCAACCCCGTCCTCTGGTTTCCCTGCTTGCGACGCAGCCAATCCGTACCTTGCCTGCCTGAGAAGACGCAGTGCACGAGATGCAGCAAGACCTGGTGCGGACCAGCCCAGACCTCGCCAGGCGAGAAGGCCAGACCCGACACGGGACCGGGGGTTGGCAGTCTCTCTCTTCCTGTCTCTGCCGCTCTCTCGATCCTACACAGACACAGAGTAGAGTCTGCGGCTGTTTCTCTTTGTCTCTTGACGGGGGAAGACGGTACGTATCGGGGGTCGATGGGGATGGGGACACACGACGGAGACAGGACGGGCATCGCTCGTCTTGATGATTATCTCGCTGCTCATTTGCTCACAACTCACTCTCCACAGAGACTGGATCCATCACTCTCATCATCATCATCATCATCATCATCATCATCCACCCGTTCTGCATTCTCTTCACATTCACACTCAAACCGTCCCCGTCCGTCTCCGTCGCAGGCCCCCGATCCCCTCCTCTCACACACCGTCGATGCTGCACTGGACTCGTGGACTCGCCTCAGAAACCCGGCCGACGGGCGCGGGCTGCTGTGTGGTGGGCGCCACTATTGCCGTTGGTCTCTCGATAGGTAGTTTCCCGCCATCGGCACCCACCTCATCATAATCATAACCATCGACGCTATCGTGCCATGCCATGCGGACGATGCGATGCAGCCTATGAGTCTGTACCAGCAGTGCCAGCCAACCATCTGGCGGCATGCCACCCCCGTCCAGCCTGGTGGCACTCACACAATGGAATTAAAACGGCCGCTGCCCGTTTATTTTCCTTCTTTCTTCCCCCCCCATGCCCTGCCTCACCATGCCTTGTCTTACATGACCTGTACGTACCTTGCCGTCCGCACATCACCCTCTCTCAATACGTAATGCGTACGAGTAGCTACGATAGGACACACCGCGGACACTGCGGACACGGCTGGCATGTGTGGTGGTGATTGTCTGCACCTTACATACTAGTAGGCATGCTGGATAGGTAAGGTATCTGATGGGAGTGAGGTATCCAGAGGGCGGGTTCGTGAGGTACGGATACCCATACTTTGTGCATGCCTACCACCCTGGTTGCCGGCATCGATCTCCGTCATCATCATCCTGACGCCGTTGTGATATTGCTCCATGTCCATATCCTCCTACTCCTCCTCCTCCGCCTCTGTCCACACCACATCCCCGAACCCGAGGCTCCCTGCTGGAGATCCTTGATGTGGTACTGGTGATGCCGCTCCGGGGTCGTGTCATGCTAGCCAGGTAGCCTCCCAGTGCCCGTGCCGGTGCAACCATCGTAACCCTAGAACAACATCCGCGTCGTCCTCGCTCGCTCTTGTGCGCCTTGCTTGTGTCGTCTCCCGTCTCCTGGCCTGTGTGCATCGACGGGACTTAACTGGCCCTCAAATGCCCTTGTGTTTCCTGGACCAGTTTGCTTCCTGTCCTTTCTTTCCCTCCCTCTTCTTCTTCTCTTCCTCTCCTCATCTTCGAAGACCTCCATCCTCACACCTTTTCAGTTGTGAGAAGGCTGAACCTGGGTATCCATCTAGCCTTCTTTGGTGGATTGAGGGTGGTCTGTCTTATTGATTATCTATCCAGCCAGCCAGCCAGCCAGTCAGTCAGTCAGCCAGCCATCCTCTCCCAAGCTCGAACCGTGATACCGGGCCTCTTCTGCCCTACCTCCGTTGCTGTACCTTACCCTCCGATCCCTAGCTGCGGCACGGTACTGCACACTCGCATCACATCACATCGACCAGTCCTGTCCACATTGGCCGCCATTCGTCAACCACCCACCGCTCAGCTCGGCTCGTCTGGCACCAAGCATCAGCGCCATTCCCGGATCCAGCTGCTGTGCACACCCTCCTCACGTCTTGATCTGTGTGTCCAAGGCACCAGACGGGCGAACAGACGGCGAAGGAGCTACCGCAAAGGGCGAATCAATAATCTCACTCAGGCGACGAGACCATATCAGGAGGAGACTATCTTAGTCTCGTAGGTCAGAAGCGAAAAGAGAGACACAGACGGACAGAAGAAGCGTCACCAACAGCACCACCAACACCGGCAACAGCATCATCCAACAGCAGCAATAGCACCACCACCATCATCATCATCATCATCCAACACCAACTATTTGCAAGGTATTATTACAGCCCAGCCTGGCCCCCGAGGCGAGGCCACCACCACCACCACCACTATCAACCACCACCCTTCTTCGCAGGCTCGGTCGCCAAACCCCGGAGTCGATCGAACAAATCGCCGGGCTCGAGGTCGACGCAGAGACGCAGAGACGCAGAAGGAAGGGACGGGCAGACGCACCCCGGAAAACCACTCGTCACATTTATTGTTCCTTTTTTGGGGCGGACCATCGAATTCTGCAATATTCCTCCTCTCTCCCCCTCCAACCCTCCACCCCCTGTGTGCTCGCTCTTGTTTCATTCGTTGCGTCGCACGTTAGCTGAGGTACGGACGAGTTACCTGCTCGACGGCGCGATACTCGTTCCTGTGGGCGTTGGCTCCTGTACCATACCTTGGGCTGGGTCATTGATACCAGTCCTTTTTTTCTTTCTTTTGGTTCAGTTGGTGAGGACGGGCGTTCATTTGTTGTCTCTTGGTGTAGTATTATTGCTGGCATCCATCCCGTTATTGCATTGGATTGGATCGCAGCTCACCTCACCTCACGCATCGCATCGCATCGCATCGTCCGACTCCCCGACTGTTCCAGTCCGTTTCCCCCCTCCTTCACCCTCACTCTCATCGACCCATTCATCATCTCTTCTTTTCTTTTTTTTCCCTCTGCCTCTTGTTTTTTTTCCCCCACGGGCTGCTTACTCCTTTCTGTGTGTTCTCTCTCTCTCGCCCATCACCCTCCCCTTTTCCTCCAATCGAGGATCGGAGACTGCACATCAGGGCGTGTTGCCAGCCAGCAGAAACAAGCGGTCGCATTAGGGCCAGGATTCCCTCGACTCAGACTACGAGGCACAACAAGCACTGGCAGGACAGGAGACAGGAGGCTAGTCTCAGAAGTCAAGACAGGAAGAGAAGAGAGCAAAGCAGGGCCAAAGGTGGCAGCAGGACGACAGCATCAGAGAGGCCATGTTCCAGCCTCAGCCCACGCCTTTTGCGTCGGGATTTCACGCACAACCGGCGCAGTTTCACAGCATCCATTCGGCACATGCACCACGAGGGCAGCTGCAGCTTCACACTTCTCACAATTTAGGGGGTTATGGCATGGGTGTAACGGGAGGAGGAAGTGCAGCAGCAGGAGGAGCTGGAGCAATGGGAGGAGGCGTTGGAATTGCAAGAGGAGGAGTATTAGGAGGGGGAGGAGGAGCAGGAGACGGGATGGGAGGAGAAATGTCTGTGTACAGCTTCCACTCACCGACCCCGCTGGGAGTGGGCTCACCGTCGGGTGCGAACTGCATTGGGATGGGCCTGGCGTCCGCTGGTCCCGAAGGCCACAGCATGGGCAACCCCCTGGCCCACAGCGGGCACACACTGAACCACAGCAGCCCGGGGCCTGCACCGGATCAGGGACATGGACATCATTATCGCCATCACCAGCAGCGGAAGCATCACCAGCAACAGCAGACGATGGGTGGAATGGATCAGCGGTCGAATTCGCTATCTCTGGGCGTGGGCGTGGGCGTGGGCGGGGTGGAACACCAGATGGAACCTGCAGCTGCAGCAGGTGCTGCAACTGCAGCGGGTGCGGGTGCGGGTGCTGGCGTCGTCGTTGGTGCAGCTGTCGCCGCGGTTAGTGCAGCCGCGCCGGTCGCTGTCACTGGAGTCCAGGTGTCTGTGCCGCAGCAGCAACATCACCAGCAGCAGCAACCCGGACCCGGACCTGGACCTGGACCTGCTGGAGCCACGGCGGTAACAGCAGCAGCAGCTTCCCCTGCTGGAGGCAGCTTGTATTGCTCATCCCCCGCCAGCTACGGCGGCGGCCACAATCATCACCATCCTCCTCCTCACCCTGCAGCAGCTTTCCACCACAGCCCTGGCGCGTCTTCTGGCTCGGCCTCTGCCTCCTCTGCCTCCACCACGCCGTCTTCCCGCTCCCATTCCCTCTCACACGCCCATTCCCACTCTCATTCCCACTCCCACTCCTCCTACAGCCACTCCAACCCCAATTCCCATTCCCACCTCCACCACCACCACAACCACCACCACAACCAACAGCAGCTCCAGCACCACCTCCCTGGAGCTCCCTCGTCCAGCTGTGACCCGGCCTCTTCCTTTTACAACTCCAACATCTCTTCTTCCTCAAACACAAACACCACCGCTTCCGCAAGCACCGCAAACTCCACGAGCACTCGTCCGTCCACCATGGAGCCCGGCGACCCTTCCGACCTCGCCGCCCAGGAAGCCGCCGCCCGGGATTACCAGCCACAGCTCCAGGTAAGCTCTAAGCTCCCATCCATCTCTCATCTGTTGTTCATTGTCTGTCTGTCGCAAACGAAGCTCGAGCTTGGAACCGAAGCTCTGCTCACCTCAGCCCAGCTTACCTCTGCTCTGGATCTGCGCTAACCACTTCCTCTCCCCGCCGATAGGGCCCATTAGTCGGCGACAAGATCACCAGCGACGCCATCACCGACGAGTACGCAAAGGCCGACGATGTCTACGTCGCAAAGACCATCGTGAGTCTCGATCCGACCCTTCCAGCTCCCCTTCCGAGACCCAAACACCCTGGACATTGTCTAACCTCGGCCCTCGTTGCCGCCCACTCTAGGCTCTTCCTCAGACGTATTCTCACTACCGACCCATCCAAGGCGACGGAAACTGCGGCTGGCGAGGTAAGTCACCCTTCGCCCTCGAACCGTTCCGTGCACCACCAACCTACCCCGCATTCCCAACTCGAGTCCTCGCACCAGCTTTCACGATACGACCCCTCCGAAGCACACCACGATAGCTGACTGACTGTTTCTGCCACAGCCGTCGGGTTCTCCTACTTTGAGCATCTCGCCAACAATGGCGATCAGGATCAGATCCTTGGCGAAATCGCCCGCATCACGAGCTTGAACCAGTACCTTCTCAACATCGGCGGCTACGATCGGATGCTCTTCGAGGATATGGTGGACGAGACCATTGCTCTGCTGAGAGACCTGGCAAACAGCATTACGAACCCGCAATTGGCCCAGCAGATCGTCCTCCAGCGCTTCAACGACCAGGACGCCTCCAATGCCATCATCTATCACCTGCGGCTCCTGGCCAGCTCCTGGCTGAAGGGCAACCCCGACGATTACGCCCCCTTCATTCCTGGCGAGACGGGTATCGCCGGCTACTGTGCCGAACTCGAGCGTCCCAACAGAGAGATTGAGCATCTCGGCCTCCAACTGCTCGTCCAGGTCCTCCTCAAGCCTGTCAACATGGTTCTCGAGATTGCTTACCTCGATCGGAGTGCCGGGAGTCAGGTCAACAGCTATCGCATGCCCAGTGAGACCATGGGCCAGGATCCCGCCAACCTGGGCCCAATCATCTACCTCCTGTACCGACCCGACCACTACGACATTCTGTACAAGTCTCCCCCGAACCCTGCACCCTTGAACCTGCAGGTCAACCGCGCGACCTGCTTTTCTCACCGACAAGAAATCATGCCCGTCGCTCCCTCTCTGCACACCTTTGCCAACATGGACTACAGCCCCTTGGCAATGCTGCCCGGCTTTGGCGGCCCGCCATCCGGCCTGTCCTCGGGCCTGTCATCGCTGGGCTCGCCAACGTCTACCTCACCAATGCCAGATGCCTACGATGCTACGCCGCAGTCCCCATGGATGACCACCCCCTACTCTGACCACATTCCGCAACAGCAGCAGCCCGTACCCACCCCTCGCCCTCAGCCTCAATCCACGCCGCAGCCTCAGCAGTCAACCTCCACATCCGGCAAGTCGTCACAGCCCGTGGATTATCAGCTGAGGTTTAGCCACCAGTGCTGGCATCTCAGCGGTTCTAGCTCCGCTCAGCCGTCCATGTTGTCTTCTCAGCCCAGTTTCCCAGAACCCAGCTTCACCACGGCCATGTTCAAGAATAGCCATTTCAACAAGGCCCACTATCAAAATCCCCATTTTCATCCAGAGGAGTGGACACCCGATGATGAGGCACACGAGAGACTGCCTCCTGCCAAGAAGAAGGGACGGATCAAGTCGGAGCACTGAACTGTCACGATGGGATAACGGTACCATCATCTCGTGACGCATGAGGCCTGGTCTTGGGTAAGCCTCCTGCTCTGGGATACAGAAGTGGAGACGAGCCTCTGTCGCAACACCCAGCGTTCTCAAATGCGAACGCGAGGCTTGACGGATGGACTCTGTGATGAGGCAGGTCGTTTTCGAACACGAAAGCAAGAGGTTTAAGACCAGTCATTTTGGTGGTCTGGCGATTGGCCAGGCATTTCTGCATTGTAGGAGGCTTAAAACTCGGTTCACTGGCTTACTGTGGCTTTAATCGTTTTATTTTCTCTACGGGGAATGGAATCATGACTTATGAAGAGGGATTTATCTTCACGGCTTTGGCGGGACGGTTCAATCTTCAGGTTGATACTCATCATAGCATCGGCGTTGTCTCTAATTGGACTGGTTGTGGTTACATTTCCTTGCTTTCTTAATCTAGCAACAATTTTATGTGAACGCTGGTGACGTACTGTCCTAGAGTTCCATGACCAAGTTTGATGAAACAAAACCCAAGGTCTTCAGTGGCGGATGCGTGGGATTTGGTTCTCACTCCAAAGTTTCTGCATCCTGACAACTGTACACCATGGTGACCTACACTCCTTCTGCCTTCAAGTCGCATCAAGTCCATGAACTAAAATCAAGAACCGACAGCCGCCACTGCGGCAGCCCAGTGTTGATCCCGTCTGCGTTGCCTGCCGGCGGCGCATCTCGGGGTCTTGGCGCGAATGCCATCTCCTCGGGAAGAGAAGACCAAATCAACCACCGTCCCTAGGAGGTTTGCTCCGCGCCTATGAGAACAGGCCATCGGGGCCAACCCATGAACCGGTGTGCTTCTGCACGCCCGCCGATCTCATGCAAGCATGCTTGAGCATTAACCGCAGCCTAGCACGGCTTATCTCCAACGTAGCTTGATTCGAGAGATTGATATATGCGGATATTGATATTATATATATCTTATATCATGAAATGCCATTCTGCGTGATGTAACAGCAGCCAAGGATCTCGGTACCGCCTATGATCGTCGGAAGCAGCCAAGGTTGCATTTCGGTCGTTGTCATTCAGGGACAGCTGAGCCGGAAGGAATTTCGACGTCCTGCTCGGCAAAAATTTCCTGTGTCTCTCTGCGGGCGGTGGCCAAAAACCAGAAAACAAGACATTGGTATCATTGAAACGGGGACGATCTATACACGGCTCACCCGCAGATCCTTTTTGCGCCGGAAGTTCCATTCCAAAAACGCGGAAATGCCGAGCTGAAGTCCCTTCCTTCGCTCTCGGCTCCGGAAACAAGCCTCCAAAGAGAAGAATAACACGCAAAAGTCCCGGTCCGAACCGAGAGCCGCGGTGGATCACTGATAAGAGAGGTGAAGGGGACAGGCACACGACACGGCAGAGAGGTGTGACGTGCCAGACCTGGGCAGCTCCGCTGCGGTGCCTCCAACGGAGCGGTCCAGACCATCTTTCGCACCCCCGCTCCCCCCTTCACCTCGACTGCCGTGATGAGCACCGCATATTCCACAACAGTAACGCAATTGCCAGGGCCAATGCCGTCTGCGAACGTGCCAACGTGGGCTTTGCTCGTCCGCAGGGGTAAGTAGAGCCGATGAGAGAAAAGCTAGCCAGGAGTGGGGGATCAGGCAAGTCGTTGATACACCGTCCCGTCGACGGCCGCGGCCCCCAACCGCCTCGCAAACTCCTCCACCCACCGCCTCGCATACCACTCCCTGCGCGCCCTCGCGTCGCCAGCAGCCGCCCACGCGTCCCATCTCGGCCCGACCTCGGCCTGCACGCTCGTGGCCGTCTTGCCCTCCAGCCCGCACGGCACGAACCTCGCCCAGGGGTTGGCGCGCTCGTCCCCGTCCACGACGACGTCGACGTTGAGCGCCGTGCCAAGGCCGGTGATGTGCCGGCGGAGGTGGACGCCCATGGCCGCGATCTTGCGCTCCTGGCCGTGCGCCCTGGCGCCTTCGGTCCAGACGCCCGGGTCTTCTTCGGAGAGGTATGTGGGGATGCCGGGCCCTGATGGAGAGGAGGCAAGGATCGCTTGGGTCGTTTCTTCGAGCAGGCGCGCGTACGAGCGGACCGTCTGGTGGGGATAGTACGGGCTCCGCAGGTCGAGGATGGGCCAGAGGACGACTTGGCCGGGGCCGTGGTAGGTCGTCAGGCCGCCGCGGTCCGTTTCGATGACCGCGGGGGCGAAGTCTCGAGTTGTGCCGTCGTCGAGGGTCACGGAGAGAGGCCGGGTGAGGCGGAACACCTGGTCTTCGCGCAGCGACTTTTGCCGTTTGCCGAGCGTGTAGGTTGGTGTCGGGATGAAGGACACAACGAGGGGCGATGGGGCGCGGGGCGTCGGGGCGGATTTCCAGTCGAGAAAGGCCTGGCGCAGGGAGGCTTGGAAATCTGAAGCGGCTGTGTATGATAGGAATCCGGCGGCGTCGCGGGGGGAGGAGGAGGTCAGGTGGATGTGGCGCACGGCGCTTGGTTCAGCGCCGTCGTCATCTGGGAAGACGAGCTTCGAGACGGGCTGCGAGGAGCTCCATCGTGTCTGCGTCTGCGTAAGGCTTCGTAGTGTTCGGTGGGAGAGGGTTCGCGTCGTGGAAGCGCAGACACGGCCGAGAGCGGTTCGCGGTGGTCCCATTGGCTTGCTGTACGTGCTGGTGCTGATTGGGCGAGCGTTGGATGGGAGGAGGTAAGGCTGAGCAGGTGAGGTTTGGAATTCTCGTCCGAAAGCTTGAACAGAGTTTCGCGGAACGAGCCAGGGGGTTGAGGCGGCGAGCAATGTGGGCACTGACGGCGGCATCTTATCGATAGGCGTTGCAGACCACAAGCACGGGCCATGAGAGCCGCAGGGATTCGGATCCTTCGGGCTCGAGTGACATTCCTCCAGGCTCTGAGAGGAAGCAGGGCGGAAGTGGGTTGACTTGACGTAGGATTGCGTGAAGCAAACTGTCAGACACGGATGTGCATCTGTCCAAATACTCTCAATGATGATCTGAAGCTATAGCGAGATAATTCAGACTTAGACTATAGGAATGAATCTTCACCTGTTCCAGGCCGCTCTGAATTTCGGTCTCGGTTCTACTGTTCTTGGCCTTAACTTGTATCAGAGGAATACGATGTTTTACAAAATGGGGACGATGATGGCTAATATCCCACCGGAGCACTCCATCGGAACTGGCGATCAGTAACTCTTGCGCAAATTGCAGTTAATATAGTCAGAGTCATGCGCCAGTTTGAGACAGCCGCACAGCCGTGTTTTTTTTTTTTGTCAGTATCTAGATGGAGTGCGCAACAACGTATGGCCACGATTGTAAGTGAAGGAACTTAAACTCATCATTTAGCTTCGATTTCATAGACTGTCCTACTCGAAAATACCATGCATAATGTCCCCCAACTAGAGGAACATAGTCTTCGAGTCTCAAGATAGAACCACTGTATCGGTTTCGAAAGGTGCTTGGTCCAAGTAATAGAGTTCGCACTAACATCCATTCAGTTGAGAGTGCAATATCACAACACTCTACTTGTGGGTTGGTCTTAGCGGTCTTTCTAGCACCCGAGTTGCCGTGACTCGGGGACAACACGAATAGTTGCGAGGCGAACGAGGGGTCCATCTGGTTGTCTATCACAAATAGGGGGAAAACACACAAAGTAAAAAAGTAAGTTGGCCTGTCTTTCTTGGGGGAAGCTTGTCACTTGAATTACACCTTTTGCCTATCCATCGCACAACACCACGTTGCAGGCATCACCTTGTTTTCAAACATGCAATTCAACGGTATCTCTTTCCTTCTGGCCACGCTGCCGTTCTTGAGCGGATTAGTCGAGGCAGGATGCACCAATGTTGGCGGAGGAGTTGGAGGCAACCCCTTGAAATGCACAGCGTACAACGCACCCAGGAATGTCGGCTCATCCGTCAATGGCCCACTCAACTCTCTTACGATTTCACGAGTTGAGGACGACACGAAATTTCCCGATTGGAGGTTCTACACTTTCAAGAACAACATGAACTACGACATCAACTTTGCCGTCCAATTCTGGAATCCCAACACACAGCAGGTTAGTCGTGTGCTTTCCCCATTTCCTCTCACCAGGAATACTGACTCTTCTGCTAGAACAACTGGCAAACCTACACTCTGTCACCTGACGAGAAGTGCGACGTGCATTTTCTTTCTACGCTTCAAAATTTCAAGCTCACTTGCTGAGGCATAGAAGCCCTTAAATGCGTATATGCCCTTCAGGATATTGGAAATTTGCTTTGGAAACCCGTTAGTCGGAAACGCTGGTAGAAATCTTCTAGGAGGGGTACATGGCTGTTACATCGATACCCATTGAGAAATATTGAGTATATGTAGCTACTGAGATTGTGCTCGACCTCTCACCCAGCAACCTTAAGCCATGTTGTTGCCGTCCCTGCTTAGCTAAAAGAATCCGCCCCGATAGCAAACGATTCCCAGCCATTACTGATATGAAAAGCCATTTCACGTTCTAGGAGCTGCAATGAGGCTTAGAAACGCCGAATACGAATCTTTTGAGAGTAGTAAGGGTGGTAGGCACCATGTCATTTTCCAAAGCTTTTGTTCTTATACGTAATGACCGATTTGGCGCACTTTCCGCATTATCTTCTGTCCTTGATCGAGAGGAGGATCTCGATTGTCAAGACATGGCATACCCTACTTCCTGCCTGCAGTCATGTTTCATGGTCGCTCACGGTTCTCATTGGTGTCATTCGCCTCATTTTCTAGCCCGCGTCAACTCAGGGAACCACCTGCGAGTTGCCTCACGGTTGCCTCAGACGTTGTGTAACGACCTGTGGTTTGCGTTTCACAGAAATCCTGACCTGTTCAGAATTTTCAACCATAACCTGCAGGATGGCGGTGCTCTACTGCAGGCTGAACTTGACTGGATAGAAAAGAAATGTGCCAAGCGCACGCATATGGTGTAACATATCAGGCTGTGGCCCGAGATGGGTGGGTTACGGTTGATGGCTCACCAACTTCAACCGTGTCGACGTGCAGAGAATGCATGCAAATAAATCACCATTCTTTTGGCCCACTTCAGGAAGAAAATCTAAGTTTTAACACAGTGAGAAGTTCCGTCAGGGAAGGTAGGTTGAAGCTGATATGGATGCTAAACGACCTCCACACTACGGTTTGTTGAAGTTCCGGGCACATGCCGCGCCCCAGGAAGATCTCCAGTCTCTTAGATCGCCAAGATCTGACTGCATTCCACAAGACGGCTGTCGTGGCTAGACTAGGCAGCAGATGCAAGAAAGCTGGCCGTCATGCAAGGAGCTGTCGGCGATACCGATCAAGTCTTGGACGTCGTCATCAATTCAGCCTTTTTTCCCCTTTGGACCAACCAATGCACAACTTATGACCATGTTTCACGAGAGAGTAATAATGTTAGCAAAGCTGCATGATGTGTAGACTTCAGGCGATTTAGATTTGCGCAAAGAGGCAAAGCGAACCACTACGAGGCGCAGCCTGATCGCCTTCGCAATCGCTTTTTGCATAAGTAAATCGAGGTGCGTGCAAGTTCCAGCGAGCCTTTCACCAACAGCATCTCCATTATTCCTGAACAGATGCTTCCTACACAATGTCAGGGCCTACCAAGGAACGACCTGACAAGCCACAGTTGATCGTGGGCATTGACTTTGGCCTGACTGGTAAGTAACGAGCCTCTCTTTACTGTGAGATGAGACCGACAACAACGGTGCATCGCAGCATCGCAACATCGCAACATCGCAACATCACAACCCATTGCTCAACTGTATCGCTCATTGGAGATGGCTGAAATGTTACTTAGGGACTTCAGTAGCCTGGGCACTGCCGTCCAAAGACAAAGTGCAGAGGATAGATACTTGGCCTAGTGAGTAGCAGCCTCTACCATCTACACTTACTGTTGAGATCTTTCGATTGACTTGGTCTATGTATCTAGACTTGATACATCATGCTGGGAAAGTGCCGTCAGCTGTTGTACTTGAAGGCCCAGATGGAGAATCGGCGTGGGGCTTCTCTACACGCAAGTATCGCGACTCACCACAACATCCGGTGTACACACTCTTCAAGGCGGTCATAGGTAGGGACAATGACTCTTCTGGCGACCCGTTTGCGGACAGCAATGCAATTTGCGATGAAAAGGAAGGCGAAGATCATTTGGGCAGCCAGGCTGAGTCGGACGAGAACGTGGGCGAGGTATTCCGTTCCGACACGAAGACAATGACTTTTCACAGAGCCAAAGCGTGCCTCACGGAGTATCTAGAGGGTTTGTACGCGCACATCAAGAAGGAGTTGTCCATGGAACTGCCGAGAGGGACTGACTGGCACTTGATACGCGCTTGGTTTCTCTTCAGCTATCCGACGACTTGGAGCGCTACCTCGATTGAAAGATTCAGAAATATTGTCGAATCCTCCGGTTTCGGACACGAGAAGTATCATTGGGTCAATGCCTCATATATGGACGAGGCTCAGGCCGCGATGGCTTCTTTCTGCACGGGCACCGATGGTTCCAGACCAACTCCTGGAAAGATCATTCTTATCGCCGACATTGGTGGAGGAACCACCGATGTGAATAAGTACCTTGTTGAGGAGGATGACGGGAAGCGGGTGAAGCTGAGAGTCGAGACCGATCCTTCCGGCCGAAACTATGGCTCGGTGCATGTCGACTACAGAGTCACGAAAAATCTCCGCAAACAGATTCTGATAACTTTGTCCAGCTCAGATAACCCTTCTCTCAGAAACATAAGCCCCGACAAGAAGGAATCTGTAGCCGAGGAACAGGCAGGGTCAATTCTCGGTCGCAAAGACTACATGCATACCAAGCATGGTATCGATGGCGATTCGCCCCTACATCAAGAGGAGCGTTACCCTCTTTCTCTTACACGTTCCACGGATCCCGTTGCAACTCTGCGTTTTCAAATGCATGGCACCCTGAAAAGGGAATTCAAGAAAGAGTGCCAAAGGATTTGGGATCAAATCGAGGAACATGCAGAGACTCGCCCGGAAGGAAGCGTGGACCAGCTGGTGCTCACGGGAGGAATGACCAGAAACGTTTTTGTGCGGGACTGGTTCAAGGGTAAAGTCAGAGACTCGCAGAAAACCTTCAAACCCATCAGAGACATCATATTTCTAAAGGAGCCAGAAACTACAATCAGTAAAGGAATGGTCCACGACGCCCTCGAATCGTACAAGAGAGACGGTCTCTGGTTATATAAGTCTCTTCATTCCTATGGTATCGTGGCCTACAACTCGGAAGGGCAAGTCGAAACTAAGCGAAAGTTCTTGGCGAAGGGCCAAGTGATTGATCCCAAGAAATTCAAGGAGAAGCAGACGGTTAGGTTCAAGCTGGCTCACCAAGTCGGTGCTGATTTGCGGTTGGCTCGATGGGACAATGAAGACGGCGATGACAGCATTACAACAGTCGGCTCTCTTACTGCGGACCTGCCTCCTCCGACGGAATGGGATGTAAGTTTCCTGACGAGTGGATATTGGTATGAGAGGGAAGTCTGACCAGATACAGCCATCTTGGAGCTTCGGCTGTGACGCGAAGGTTGAAGTCGAACTTAGCTTCGAACGTCGAACTGCGACAGTCAGTTTCTGTTCTAAGGAGAAAACACGACACCGACTGGTATTCAATGAAGAATGGCATTCAGGTACTGCTCGGAGGCTTGCGAGTAGGCCGCTTAACTTCGAAACCCTCGCGAACATTGGACTGGGCATACTAAGCTTGTTATCCAGCATCATCATCGGTGTTGATATTGTCCCTCGAGTAGGCGGTGGTACTGCTGCAGGCATCTCCACTCGCGATGCTTCCCATGCGACTGCTCAAGAAATCAACGGCAATGACGGTGTCGGAGAGGGCGGTGGACAATTTGACAGCTTCGAGGAAGCATAAGACATTGTATTTATCTCTTTCATCTAGTACAACAATTCGTAGCCTTACCGATTGATCTTGATATCATCTTGCACATCGAATGCGATTACCTGAAAGACCGATGGGGACTTGGAGAAGAGATGAGAAGAGGATCCGGTTCGGCCTGTAAGCCATCAGGTGTCCGAGGACGAACGGGTCTCCCATACCTGACCGGACCAGGATGACCCGGCCGGCGCCCGGCGCCCGGCGCCCGGCACTCGGCTCCGGCCGTCTGAAGTTCAAAGATGCCAACTCGGAAGCACGCCGTCAAAGAAAGATGTTTCGTGGCTGGTGCCATCGAAACAGACATTAGTGCGATTCCAGCAGCGCAGCACTTGACTCAGCCAGTCATCATCACGACACACAAGACTGTCAATGACGCCCGTGAATTCGCTGTCAACACAATGTCTCACAACGGGCCAAGAATGCGCCATCTCCAAACCATCCATCATGATGACATGCACAGACCCGAACAGTAGAGCATGTGTCATTACAGACTTCCATAGTGCGCTGAGCCGACGCCGGCACGGCGCTATGTGGGTAGTCCGGCCTTGCCGGTCGATCTGGCGCTCGCCCGGAAGGGCACAAGTCCAGGGGTGATATGTCTTATTTGTCACTACTCTTTCAGACCTCCAGCTCGAAGCTGCGTCAATGTCTCCTCGAGCCACCAATACCCGCGATGCCCGAAACCGAGGTAGCAGCGCATCTATCAGGATGCAAAGTGAAAGTCAGGCTCGTGTCACCCGGCCGGCTGGGACGACGGACAGGGCGACGCGAGTACAGGCAGCTCAGCCTCCATGTGCGAGCTGACAGCGACAGGAGAGAAATTTTGTGTTCTTAGCACACCGCATCTGAGCCACGCTGGTACACCTCAAAGCCGCGCAATAAACAGAGGGGACGGCGCAATCTCGGGAGGCCGTTTTTGGTCAGGAAGCGCAGATTGCGGTAGTTGGCAGCGCGAACACCGCAGATCAGGCTCTAGTGGAAAGGTCCTGGAGAAGATCCCACCAACAAAACGACCAAGGGTGCTGCGGGTGCTGCGGTTGGCCTTGGAAGAGAAGGGCAGAACGCAAGATGTTCTGTGCCGACGTGCATATTTTTCTGCTGCGAGACCCTGCGTCTGGTGCAGGTGATAAGCCTTCTGGCAGGGCAGGGGGTGTTTCGTCCCAGGGATGGGGTGGTTGATGGGATTATCCGTTCACCGCCAACCGTCCGCTTTGGCAGACGGAAGCTCGAGCACCTGCTTGAGCTGGAGGAAGAAGCAGGATGATGAGGTTGAAAGAGGCGGGAGCTCAGCAGCGGGAACAGACGAGACGTCCATCCGAACGCCAGCAAAACCTAGTCAGTCCCGGCCATCCCAATTGTCATGGACGACGACCTTATTTCGATGACCCATGGTGCCATGTCCAGAGCCTTGTCGCGAACGACTCGGTTTTAGCTCAAAGGTAGTGCTCACGCCGAAAACATCCAACGTGAACCTAGGACCAGCTTCAAACGCACTTCTCCGAGGCGCCAGATGTGGTTGGCCCGTTGGAGGGGGGAAAGAAGGCAGACGACAAGGACGCAGGCGAGGAGAGGAGAGCAAAAAAAACAGTGTTGGTCCGCTTTGATCAGAGGATGACGTCGGGGCAGGGAAGATGGCTGGACCCGCTTGAGGATGGATGGATGTGTGGTCCCTGCGCTGGCAGCAGTCATTGGTGTGGCAGCGACGGTGGTGCTGTCGTTGCCCAGCAGGGACTCCAGGTGGACTCTGTGGTGCGGTGGAGGCTGCACTGTTTGCGCCTGGAAGCTGACTGTGCCATGCCCCGTCCAGCAGGGCATTGTCCACAGTGTGGGCCCGGCAGTGGCTCGGTGGTGTCGTCATGGTCGGGTCCACGATGCGCTGTCCGCCGGTGGGAAACCGCCAGTCGTTAGGTGCATCCCAGCACCGAAGCTGCCCAAGCTGCAAGCTAACCTGGAAGGTACCTACCTCCATCTGCTCTGCACTAGCAGAGACCTAGGCAGTAAGGCTAGACCGAGGTGAAGCAGTGAGAAAGAGCAGAGAAACAAAACCAGCAGGGGGTTCCCTTTCTCCCCGCTAGTTTGGCTTCGCATCCCGGCACACGTAACCTGGGTTGGCTTTGCATCATCTGATTGCTCGCCCGTCATCCAATCCGTTTCTTCTCTCTTTTTTCTCTCCCATCCTCCAATATCTCGGACTGGTCCCATCGCTTCATCCAGCCGAAACACCTAGAAGCAGCAACATCCGGCTCGAATACAATACCACCCGATCATCCCTACCCATTCACACTCTGGAACCAACAGCATCTTCGGCCGAGAACGAGGGTTGCAATCACTTAGAAACACACGCAGCAACAAGAGACACAGAGCTGTCCTAGCCCCCCCCATCCGAACTGAAACATTCTCTGCGAATCCGGTGAGTACCCTCCCCTCCAGGCCAAGGCAAACCCGTGAATTACTCGTGTGTGCCGGCTCCCCTACCCCCTCCCCCGTCCTCCCCAAGATCCAATCCATTGCGCAACATCGCCTGGCTCCCGTCAGGCAAAACATCCGCTGAGTACAAATCCCAGACCACCACCCTCGAAAACAATCCTCCCCCAGCCATCGCAAAGCATCTACATCCTCAACAGAGTCCATATCAAACAGCCGCAACAATGGTAAAACGTGAGTCCTTCCTCCCTTGTCTCCCCCCCCCCCCCCCCGCAATGCCTCGCAATCCAACGACCAACACCCATTCCAGAAGCCGGCCTCGGCCTAGCCTCCATCATCTTCCTCTCGGGGTCGATTGTTCTTTTGATGTTCGTCATTCTTTCTGGCGTCAAAGACACCGCACCCTTGAACAAAACCTACTTCCTCGAAGCCAACACCGCAGGCATTACCGGCGCCCGCGATGTGACGAGATGGACCTACTTCTACTACTGCAACAACCAGAACACCGACTGTTGGGGTCCCTGGCCCGCCCCGGCCTTCGGCTGGGCCTGGAGCCAAAACGCGGATAACGTTCCCGACATCCTCGAGGGCGGCCACGGCGGCGGCACCACATCCACCGAATTTTACTACCTATGGCGCTTCGGCTGGGTCACCTACCTCATCGCCCTGTTCTTCACCGTCATCGCCTGGTTCGGCAGCTTCCTCGCTTGCTGCGGTAGACTCGGATCCGCGCTGGCGTTCATGGTATCCGCCGCCGCCTTGTTCTTCCTCAGCATCGCCGTCTCTCTCATGACGTACGTTTTTCCCCTGCTCGGATCTTGAAGCAAGCATCACGCTAACTTTTTTTCTGCAGTGCCACCTTCGTTAAGGCCCGTAACGCATTCCGAGCTGCAGGCCACGACGCTGAAATCGGTACCTACGCATTCGCCTTCAGCTGGGGTGCCTGGGCGGCTCTGTTTATTGCGACTTTTTTCTTCTTTATCGGCATCCGCGGCGATAAGGGCCACAAGGGACCTAGCAGGTTCAGCCGCAAGCGCAGCGTGCGCAGCCGCAGATCCTTCGACGTCAACTCCGGCCACCGTGTCAAGGAGGACTACAGCTAAATCATTCGCTGCATCGCCATTTTCCACGGGAAGTAGGACACCACCTACAAGACATTAAAACCATACACAATGTTACACACAAAACCGAAAAACACACACGGACGAATCGAGATGGATCATTCCCTTGGCACTGGAGTTTGGTATGACGGATAAGGGAAGTTGGCAGGACTGTTGATATCCAGAGCGCATGATGTACTTACGACTGTTTCTTCTTTTTTGCATTCCCGGCGGCGTTGAAAGCAACGCATCCATCCACCTACGTATTTTGGCTTGGCGCATGGGCATGCCCTGACTGAGCGAGGCTATCCGCGGATAGTCAATGCCCAGTTTAATACAAATAATTATATCATTAAATGCTGACCTGGCAATGCTGCCATCCTGAAGAACTGCAACCATGTCTGGAACTTTGATGAATTATTCTTATCCGTTAACTCATCCGCTTGATGCGGGTGTTGGTACGCAATGATGGTTAGTACTGAATGTGAGTACTAAAACTTGATGAATCCGATACGTTGAAACTGCGAGGCCGGCGGATTCCTCATTCCTGTCTCAAGTCATTATCACCATACTCGTGTGACTTGTCCATCTGGTGCATACGGAAAGCCTTATAACCGTATAGGTGTTAAGAATTAGCTCCATTGCCGCCACACCAACACCAAATCCTTCGCTCACATAATCGGTTTTGCGAATTCGTCACGGATACATACACCCTCTACCATATATCCCGTTCACAGCACGCACAAACACTCATCATTTCAGATACCGTGGTCTTTTTGTCTTTCTCATCTTCCTATTCTTCTTGTCGTGTATAAACGTCATGAAACTTCCTCCCATCCCTTTCCAGTGATAACAAGAAGACCGCCCCGCCACGTACAGACCCATTCTCCCGTCATAAGCGTCGACTTTCGGGGCGGAAAGAGCAAAAATCAAAAGTAAATGCAGACCATGTCTGGAAGAACGCCGTCCATGTCGTATACTGGGCGACCAGAGTGCTGTAAGTGTTTTGCCGTTCATAAAAGAGGAGGAAACGCGAAGGCAAAGAGATTTCTCGTCAAACAAAGCAGACACTCCTTGCCAACCAGTGATATATGCTGATGATGCAAACGTAGAATACTTGGATTGAGGGTATGAAAACGAGAAAACAAATAGAAATGGTCCGTAAGGGGTTGGTGAATAGGAAGAAAAGGAAAAAAAGGCCAACGGAGGCCAGCTCGGTCAGCATGGGAATTTTGTGGAAATCATCAGCCTCCCCACCAACCGCTTGGGCTGTTCTCCTCGGGCTTTTCTTACAACGACATCGTCGTCTATTCCAACCTGTTCTCCGAGCCCACCGCAGGACTCGCGGTCGGGCTGACACTATCCAGCGGGGCGGCGTGAAGGGCGGGGCGTGACGCGGCACTGGGGTCAAGTTCTTTTCTCTTACGATCAAGCACCGACTTCACCCACTCCGCGACCTCTTCATCCTCGGTACCAGACGACAGCGAAATCTTGCCTACCGCGTCCGCAACAGCCTCGGCTTCTTCACCCTCTTCGGCCTCTTCTGCAATCGTCTCAATCTTGGAGAAGGGCTGCATCCAAGGATGTTGGAGTAGCATGGCATACGTCGGACGTTCCTTCGGCACCTTGTTCAGGCACTTCTTGACGAAATCGTGCGCAGTAGTAGAGTATCCCTCTTCGGGAAGGCCTGGGGGCTCACCCTCAACGATGGCCTGAAAACGGTCAGTTTAAATCTCTGTAGGGAATTTGGACAACTCACGCTTAGTTGACTGAAGATGGTTGACGATACCTCCGGCGGGTAGGGGTACCGTCCCATAGCGCACTCGATGATGGTCAAGCCCAAACTCCAAATGTCACTCTGTACACTGTATGTACCGTCCGCGCCAGCAGCCATTCCGCCTCCTGATATCCGCTCAGGGGCCATGTAGCTCTGGCAACCGATGTTCGTCTTGGCAATACTGGCAACAAGGTTTCCACTAACGCCGAAATCGCAAATCTTGACTTGGCCCCTGGTGTTGGCCAAGATATTCGTGGGCTTGACGTCGCGGTGAATGATGTTGTGCTCATCCTTCAAAGACTTAAGACCCATGACTGTCGAATACGTGACCTTGCGCAAGACACCTTCGGGGATGCCGCCGGTATACAGCTTGTCGATGGAACCTCCATCCATGTACTCTATACACATGTAGACGGCACCTTCCTGGAAAAATGCGCCATAAAAGTCGATGATGTACGGCGAAACGCATTCGTGCAAAATGACCAGCTCCTTGAGGATCGTCGTGAACTTGGCCTCTTCAAGTTCTAGCCTGATTTCCTTCATGGCCATGACTCTCCCAGTCGCTCCCTCTGACACCGACAGAGATGTCACTGGCGAGTCATCGCCCCGCACTGGCGAGGGATCTGAGTGCGATGTACTCAGATTGGCATGCTTGAATCCACTCAGGCCGCTTCCAAATCGGGGCGCTCGTGGCTTCGTATGCCTGACCTTGTAGACAGTGCCGTAGTTTCCCTTGCCAAGTTCGTCCATGACCTCTACCTCGTCTAATGAGATAGTGAAGGCTGTGCCGTTGGCGAAATTCACACCGGTCTTGGTAATGGTTGCGGCGCCATCGAACGTGATCCAGCCCTTTTCCGAGTCAATGTACTTTTTGAAATCGTCCATTTTTGATCCCTGCGTTCCATTCGTGGCACCTCCATTGGAACCTTGCATGTCTGACAGCTTCGGCGTCGGTGATGCTGGCGAGGGGCCTCCTCCCATATCTGACAGCTTCATTTGGGGACGCCGCCTGTCGGCAAGCGATGGCTTCGTCTTGATAACGGGCGCGGAGCGAGGCATGCCTGCAGGTGAAGGTCGCACCATACCACCGGGCAGGCCGCCGGGCAAACCGCCGGGCAACTTCAAACCACCGGGGACGCCTCCAGGCATGGAAAGACCGGGCGAGCCCTGCCGAGGCACGGGAGAAGCGGGGCTCCCCGACATTGAGTTGGGAGGAGGATTCGTGCTGGCGGGCTTGCCCATGCGCTGAGCGTGCAGAGCGCGCGCCTTTGCCATGATGTCGTTCATAGCACCGCTGCCCATGCTTCCTGTCATGACTGAGGCGGTCGGCGGGAGTCGGCGTGCGTGGCTCAGCATACCGAGCGGTGTCGACGAGGGCGTCATGTTCTGGGGGTCGGAGACGGTTCGCAGCGAGGGGACGCGTTTGGGGATGTCGGACATGCTATCAGAGGGTGCCTCGAGCGGGGTGCTGGCCTCGGAGGAGTCAGCAGAACCGGGTGATGCGGGACTGCTGAGGCCATCTCGATCGACCAAGCCATCAGGAGTGGCCGGGAAGGAGTCGGGGGTGTTGATGTCTGCCATGACGAAATAGAGGCTATCCTCGAGGCGGTGACGAGGATCACGATGGCGGGCAGATAACGTGGGGAGAGAGGGGGGGATGGTTGAAGTCGTCGGGGTGGTCCTACGGCGCAGGCAGCATGTGACGGATGAGCCTTGGAATCGTTCGCAGGAGAGTCAGCCGGGCGGTAGATAGGTGTTCGTAGTATCGTGATGTCGGCCGCGAGGGTCGCGAATTGGTATGGTGTCAACCGATCGCTCAGCAGTGAGCGGTGGCAAGAGATCGAAAAGTTGGGGGTAGTAGCGAGCAGCCGCGGGGTTCTAGACGCGGCGGTTTGGATAGTGTGGCCTGCTGCGCACTCGGGTCGGGGTTGCGACCGGGGCGGTGGCAAGGGCAAACTCTAAGTCGGGTCGAATTGCGATGGGACTGAGAATGCGCCAACGGGCTAGACCGGCCAGGCCGAGCAATTTGTTGGGGGGTCTCGTTGACTTTTTTTGTCTGTTCGATGACTGTGTATCTATTGTAAGCAAAAGATCCGGACGACCGAAGAAATATGGAAAGCAATGAGAGGTAAAGATGAAAAAAAAAAGCAAACGGGAGGACGTTGAATGTGGAATGGGCGCACCTAAAAAGAACGAGAGACGGAGTAGGAAGAGGGAGTAGGGCGACGGACGGGGTTCAAGGTGCAAGCAAGGTGGAATAAAAAAAAAAGGGTGAGAGTCGGATGCAGAGGCAGAGGTAGATCAGAGACAGACCATAGACAAGAGGCCGATAGTCAGGTTATGATGATTTCCCTCCACTGGGCAAAGGAAGCAGAGCCTGAAAAGAGACAATGGCGGGGAACAGAATTTAGACGAGCGAAATGGGTTCGAATTCGCAATGCAATTTTGGTGCAAACGTCACAAATGGCAGCCGCCGGGCAGGTATTGGATCCGTACCGAGCAGTAAAGTAGGTACCTACAGTAGGTACCTCCCCTGCTGCCGCACTTTCCTTTAACCAGCAAGTACCTCCAAGTACCGCCAGCAGCTTGAAGAAAGTGCCAGGGTGCCGCCGGGCCCAGCCATTGGCGGATGCTTGCCGATGGGAGTCAAACACCGCAAGAGATACCCCGCAGTACCTGCCTTGCCTCATGCTGCTTGCTGGGTGATGGGAGGTGCGCAGATGGAGAATGGGAGGGAGCGACAGAGGAAAGGACTGAAAGTCCCTTCCCTCCCAGGAAATGCCCATACATGGAAACTGCTTGCCGCTGGGCCTTTGAGGACCCCAAATAAACTTCGAGGCAGGAAGGAAGCGTCTCCAATAGGTAGAGGGTTGGGCATGAATCGAACCATTGGGCAATGGGATATGGGGTTGGGTAGAGGAGGTAAGGCACAGGGCATGGGAAAGAGAGAAGCTCGAGTAATGACAATGTGATATCTCGACGAAACCCCCGGCAAAGCTGAAGAGAGGATGCGGCTCACCGACTAGATCTAGATGCTAGGCCGTCCGGCTCCAATGGAGTACCTAGGTGTGGACAGGACAGGATGCTCGGTAGGTATGGTAGTAGGTTCGGACTGGTGTCGGTAACCAGGCTCAACCAGTTCTGTGCGCAGAGACTGGGCCAAAGGTTGTGGTTGTGGTTGCGGGTGGTCGTGTGGGCAGTAGCAGTTCAGACGGGATCGGGATGGTCGTTGGGGGCGAACTAGCCGTTCATATATGGTGTCCGTAAAGGCCAGGAAGATAACGTGTCCCTGGAAGACCCTTGAATTGTGGGATACAGCAAAAAAAGACGATGATGAGGATGTTGGTGCTGAAGAGGGAGAAACACGAGAAGTGTGCCCTGCGCCTGATCAGGTTTGCTCTGGCGAAGATGGAAACGAGACGCAAGGCGATGCAGATATCATAATAATTCAATGACACCGACAGCCCGCCTCGACTTACCTGATGTTCTGCGTCCGGAGTATCGGTACATGTGCCCAGGCCGTTTGGCGGGTGCTTCTGCCGCAATTTATTGGCAGCGGAGTACATGCACCAAGGTACACCCACGTCGTCTCTCTATCAAAGAGCTCCTCTCATGTCATCCACCCTCACCCTCACTCACTCACTCACTCGGCTGCTTCAGGTATCGAGAAGAAACAGTTCCATGCCATTCTTTCTTGGTGGGAACCCAACAGGCTCTGTCAGGTCTACCTAATTATTACGCTGTCTTCCCTTCCAGTGCTACCCTTTTTTCAATAGTAAGTAGGGCTGGCAACATCTTCCGATTTTGCATTCATGCTCACAGACACGAAGTACCGTAGTAAGGTCCCGGGGTTGAGCTTGGGCGAGAAAGAAGCAAACACATTCTCCAAATGAAGCTTGACCAGCTCCAACTGTCCCAGACTCTGCTGCATATTGCCATCCCAAACCCTGGACAACTTGCATATGCAACTCCCGCCCTTCGACCATCCGGTGCACCGCCACCTGCATCACCGCCCAGCCTGTCCAAGTTCACCCAGCGCCCATTCCAGGACGGTGGATGTTTGTGTCGTACTGCGACATTTCGGAGCCCACTCCTGCTTTCCCCTCCAATCATCCGCATATCACCAGTCAGTCAAGTCTCGCGCATGTTGACAGCACTGGAGTCTGGAGCAGCCACAACAAGGGCCCTGTCCATGGACCATACCTTGCTTTCACGTCCTTGACAGGCCTTCCACGTCCACGGGTCCTCCCTCCGTCGCACCAATCTCATCCGCCGGGACGCGCAGGCCCCTGGGGATATTGCGTACCGGCAGGCTGCTGGAAGGGACCACGGCAGGGACGTTGGCAAGATTTTCCACGCACCACATCTCACATCTCAACGTGCATGCCCCAATGAAGCCCTCATCCTCCTCCACCCCCAAGCAGCACAGACGAGAGCTAATACTTGGTAGTACTCTGCGTCTGTACAGCTTTTGCTCAATAAATGTTTCTGAAAATAGCAACCATCAGACTACGGCTCTCCGATTCGGCTGGTGATGTAACATGGCCACCGGGAGACGCCACTATTCCCACCAGGGGCAAAAAACAAGCAACAGCTATCCGGACCTTGGGGCGGGCATGTCTCGCCGTTGTCTAACACACACACATAGTTGGGTACGGCTGCGTGCTGCTCAACCCCACCAGGCACTTACAAATTCTTCTCTTCACTACCGGAGGAGGCTTACCTGATGAAGGCAGCAGAAACGATTGGCTGTTGGGCACTGGAATAAGCCGAACCGAGGACGAGGGGAAACGAGGAAGAGGTCGATGGACGGCTAGATTCGAGCATGGACGAGATGGAAGTAGAAGCATCCCCGTTTGGCGCCCATCGTCAATGTGTCCAAGCCCGCCAAACTACCGCGCCAAAGGCCCCAAAGAACGGGCCTGCGCATGGCAACTCGTCCTCCCTCGACCAGTAATCGGGCCATCGGGAGCTCGAGACAGCAACACTAGACTACGCAGAGGAAAGCTCCAGGCTTGATGGATCCTCTCCCCCAAGTTGGAGCTTTACCGTCGAAAGTACTTAGCGTGGCCCCCCTTCCAGCCCCCAACTCCAACCCCCATCCCCTGTCCCTCCGCTGCGTCAATCCGTCTCGCAATTCGCTGGACCAGCACCGATGACGTTGTTGACAGTCGGCGGGTTGGAGACGAAGGACGAGAAAAAAAATGTGGCTTGACCCGAGAAACAAATTTCCCGCGAAAGCTCGCTTCATGGTATGGCGCCATGGGATCCATGAGACAGGCCGGCCGGTTGTCGACAACGACGACGAACCGTCAGGTGTCCAAAGCGCCCACCAGACTGTTAGAAAAAAGTGAACCCCACTGACGTTATTCCTCCACGTTCGCTCCATTGGGGGAAGGGACCATGATGCTCTCTCGGGGCCGCTAGCCTCAAGTGACTAGACCTCAACATATGGGACGATGCTATCACAAGGGAAGGCAGATTGATTTTGCATCATTGCTATGCATCGCGCATTTTTGCATTTCTCCCCTAGACGGGACGGATATGCCTGGTGCTTCATGCTAATCTTCCCACCGCCTCGCCTTCAGCTCAATCAAGATCCCAGAATAAGACGACATCAGCCTTACATAATCCAATCCAACGGTCCATTATCTTATCAGAACACCGGACGATCTCTTCCGCCTGACATCATTGCAACGTCTGGCTTCCAACCGGCATCTGATCCGTAGTCGCTCGCATCCATCCGGTCAGGTTTCTTGCAGCTTCTAACGTCAACCTTCGTGTGGTGTTTTATTTACAGCAACAGAGATCGCCTGCTAAACCTCAGGCAAGACCCCAGAGATGCTTGCTGCATGTTTCTCTCCAGCGGATCGATCCCCCCTCGCCCTCCCAGAGCTTGCGAAACGGCTCAACCGGAGTGGCAGAGCTCCTGATCTTCGATCCGAATCTCCCATCACGACGGCCCCACGTCCGACAACACCATTCCCACCTCCTCGACCTCTGAAAGCCCATGATTGTCGTGATAGCCATAACGCACATGCAAACCAAAAGTTTAAAACATTCGCGAAAATAAGGGTCCCTGATGTCTTGCTCAGCCTCACACTGCCGAATGCCCATTAAACACAGGTCCCTTGCTTTTGCGCCTCACTCTGGTGCTCCAGCTCCACGGGGGGTTGCTTCACAGCCACCCGCGGCTCCCCGGATGCCGTCAAAACAAAGGGTTACAGTTGCATGTCATCAGAGAGAGTGACCTGCCCAGGCAGGCAAGAACCCTGCCCTCTGCAAAAAGTCAATGGAACCTCGAAACATGAAAAAAGTGTCGCCCCTTCGCCAGCCAAACTATGGCCCAATCTTCCTGTTCCGTTCCTCGGTCGAGTTTTCTTGGGATGGGCTTACTGAGCTGACTACGCAAAAGAATTGTCGATGGTGGCATGTCATCGGCATACCTTCCGCCGCCAATCCCCTCTGCGTCATCAGCCATGTGGTTTGTCGCGTCGTGGCACAGATCGGCCCCCCCTCCCCACATCTGTCATCTGTTTCACCTTTAGTCCAGTGGCCTCTGAAGCGAGCAGGAGGGAAGG